ACGGAATATTTCAAACATTGTCCGTCGAAAGCCAATACTTAGAGACTTAAAACATATCTTGCAATATAGAGAAATGAGCCTAAACAAAGTATAACTTCATGGCAAATTACAGAGGTGTCAACCTCTGCGGAGCGACATGCCGAAAAGACAGCGGCAACCATGCAGACCTATGACCTATAAAAATTTACTGCAGCAAAGTCTAACGGCTCCACTCTACTAAAACGTCCTCCGCATAACACCACATAAAGAGCCCTTCATAAACACGAGTGAGGAAAAGAAAGGCCGAGAAACCGAAAAGAGATCTGCGAATGTACCGGCATATGTCACGAACCGTAGAAGTCGTGTAGGCCCGTCAACGCCATTTTGCACCAATAAAAAATTGAGAAAAAAACAAACAAACAAACAAACAATGTAAACACTAGCACTGTAATCACCTGTCTGTAATATCCTCTCTACTTGTTTGACATTCTTTATCGCAAAGTTGTACCTTCACTGGAGGATCTGTTCCGACTCCAGCATCTGAAGAAAGAATAAAGTAGTACAACTGATTCAAAGGATTCTCTGATTCCATAACGGCACTAGCAAACCTCGCCAAGGTGTTGCAAGTTAAGTATCCCTGTCATGTGACAAGTATTGTTCACGACACTAATCTGAACGAATTGGTTTCCGATCTATGGTTTGAATATTTTGCCCCTTTTTGTTTGGGAAAAGCTTCTCCAAAGTGCCTCTAATTTTTTCTTCTTTTGACCTTCTCCTGCACTGACGAGCTTAATTGCATAGAACACAATCTATGGATTCAGCTATTAACAAAGGTATTAGCTTCTGTATATGTTGGGCTACTTCGGCACGAAAAAGAAACACTCAGGTATTTACTATAGACACTTGTATAAAGGTATTAGAAGTTGATACAGCTAAATCATTAACCATCGTAACCTAACGCTCGAAAAGTCAGCTCCACTAAGTTGTTACCGCGGTAAAGTTGATCAATAGACAATAGCTGTTGGTTTATTTACCTTTTCTGATTCGTCTTCTCAGTGATCGGATCGGTTCAGGATCTGTTTGCATTTCTCGATCAATCTGTAAACAAGGAAAGAGGTTAAAAAAGATGACAAGACATCGATCGAACCATACGGCCAGGACTCCTTCAGATGTTGAACTTATCCTCAATACACCGAGAGAAAGAGAAAAAGTTCCAGAACCTTCATACCTTTAATGGTACGTGGATAACTGTCGGCAATTCTGTTGTAGTTGATTCTTGGTTCTTTTCTGTGTCTCGTCTGTTTTGCAGAACAAGAATGCAGCTCATTACTGTCTTGTTCACCAGTAGCAGGTTCACTGCTTCCTCCAGCAGGGGTGGGGTGAGGTCATCCTCGTCTTCGTCATTATTGCCATGACCTGGCGCAGCAAACATAAAACCCTTATTAAGGTGGCCGAACACAGTTTTCGCGTGCGCTTTTGCTATTGCAATTCAGCGCGCGCACAAGGATTGCAAAAAAACAAACATGCCGTCAATAGAGCGATTATTTATTCACTCAACACCCGCACTATCTGTGCTATTTTTCTCTATAATTGAACGCAGTGTATTGATAGCTTTAGTCTTTTATTACAAAGATATGTTAGAA